CTCTTTGGTAGAGCAAGAAGCAGACTGAGCTTCTTGTCACAGCTCTTTGGTTAGAAAAAGGAGCTTAGTGTTTAGATCATGTTTATGTTCAACAAAAGGATGCTTATGATTGATCTGCTCATTTTGGCTATACTACCCTAACAGTCCACACAGATGGCCTCATTAACAGCCTTGGCTGTACTGATTAGCGGTGGTAGAGAAAATGGCTGGAATGTATGTAGCAGTTAAGCTATGCTGGCTATATGCAAACAGCCTAAACCTCTAGTACCCTTTACTTCATCTACTTTCAGCAAACTTGGATTTTTAAAAGAAAATCAAGAAAATTGACTTACTTTGGAAAAGTTTTATTCTAAGCAAAATGGCAGTATTGACTACCCCTTGACTTTTACATAATATTGTGGAGTGTACAGAGCCAACATATTTCTGTTTTGGAAATCATTTGGTGAAAAAGTGGTTTGGATTTGTCTTTTAATGTCCTATTTAATTTTTAATATTCCACAGATGCCACTTTGATGTTTTTCATTTTTGTTGTTGGAATGGGTCTTTAATATCATGTCCTGAGTAGCTAACACATAATAAGAACTCTTCCCCTATCTTTCCTCCTTTCATATTTCCTGAAGCCATTTCTTTACCTGAGACAACTTAGGGAATAAGAGCCATTTGTCCTCCTTGCTTGTGAGTTTGTGACTGATGTCATGCTGTTACTATGCCCCACAGAGGCAATGTGGTTTGGGGTTGAGTAATGAGGATGGTCTTAATTAGGACTGAGCCTACATTGCTGTATCTCTCATGGCAGTGTCATGCAGAGTTTTCAATCAGGATGGAAATACCTTGCAGCTGGTTGGGGAGCTACAAATCCATCACTTTGAGAAGTGAGTCTTATGTTTCCCTTTAAGGGAAATGTAAGTCTTTTCTTCTAAGTTGTGGTGGACTGCCTGGTACCTACAATGACTTTCTCCACAGTTTTCTTCTTCCTTTTGGTAAGAGAAAACCCATACCTACTTGAGTAGGGACAGGTTGGTCTAGAAGTCTTTTGGCATTTTATAATTACAAGAAAGAAGTCCATTAGCATCAGAGTACAGAGAGCTATAGCAGCTAGGTGATGTGGAGTGATAGGGCTAAAGTCAGGAAGACTCATCTTCATGAGTTCAAATCTGGTCATAAACACACTTACTAGCTATGTGGCCCTGGGCAAGTCACTTAACCCTGTTTGCCTCAGTTCCTCATCTATAAAATGAGCTGGAGAAGGAAATGGCAAACCACTCCAGCATCTTTGCCAAGAAAACCCCAAATGGGGTCATGAAGAGTTGGACACAACTCAACAACAACAACAAGGACTATGTATGCTCTTTCAGCAGATAAGATGAGTTATTTTCCCATTTTTAAAAATTTGTATCCCTAGTACCTAGTATAATATCTGCCACAGTGTAGGTACTTAATTAATACTTATTGATTGATTGGATAGGGATATCCTTAAGGAGAATGGAGACAGGGTGGTATGTGAAAAGAGAATCAGATGAGGAAGGAGTTAGGAGACCTGGGGTTGAGTTTATGCTCTGTCACTTACTTCCTGTGTGACCTTGGGCAAGTGACTTAACTTGTCTGTTTCTCAGTTTCCTCATTTGGAAATTATGAATAACAATTTTTGCCAGGAATGTTGTGAAGATTAGATGAGATAATGGATGTAACAGTGCTTTGAAAAGTATTGGACATATAAAAATGAAGTTAAAATAGATTATCTCAGTAGAACCTAGGCTTAAAGCAGACTTCTTTTTTAAATTATACCTGTGATTTCATTGGCATAGGGGATTTCTAGGAAGGAAATTCTTCTATTAATGCAGATCAGCATTTACTCTAAATTTTATAGTTGCCTAGAGGCACTGAGATATTAAGTGACTTGCCACGGATCACTCATCCAGGTTTCAGAAGCAGGACATGAACCCACATCTTTGTGACTCTGAGGACAGCTTGATATCCATTAAATCAATTGCTTTTCAGTGTGAGGTAGTATAGAATATTGTAAAGGATTCTGCAGTGGTGACAACCAATTCTCATTTGGATGTAACTACTCAGTAATTTATGTTGGAATGAACAGATTAGAAAGAGGGTGTTCAATGTAATTGAAGAAAGGATTCCTGTTTAGGAATAGAGTTAGAAGTTGGAGTAGATGACCTCTGAGGTCCTTTCTAACTTTGAGCTTCCATGGTGCTGGATTCTCTGATGAATTCTTGGGTCATTCTTACTTCTATTTTGAAGTGGAATACCATCAGGGTATTGTAATGTAACCAGGCTGGGACTGCTCAGCTCTATAGGAGGGTCCCAGCTCTCTCCTCTGGCTAGTATAAAAAAAATCTATTTAGTAGAGTTAAGGCTTATAGTAATACTAACTATCCATCCTATCAAAGTCTTAGTGGAGGGAGGGAATAAGTGTTTATATACTATCTACTATGTGCCTGGTATGTTAATAAATGCTTTTACAAATACCTTATTTTATCATCACAACAATCCTGCAAGGTAGGTATGTAGGTGCTATTATTACCCCTATTTAATAGTTGAGGAAACTGAAGATTAGTGACTTGCTCAAGGTTGCAGTTAGCCAATGTCTGAAGCTGTATTTGAACTTGAGTCTTCCTGACTCCAGGCCCAGTGCTCTGTCCGCATACCACCGGGTGCCTCATTTCAACCTTACATCAGGACCATAGACAGCACCACAGAATGTTAGAACTGGAAGGGCTTTTAAGTCATTTAGTTTAATTCCCTTGTTATACAGATTAAGAAACTGAGGCCTGACAGGTGGCATGATTTACCCAAGGTCACACAGCTAGTAATTGGTAGAGGTGAGATTAAACCCAGGTCTCCTGACTCCAGATTAATAGCCTGCTAGGCACAGGAGCTATTTGTTTTAATAATAATCCCACGCTCAAAATCTCTGCATACTAATTTTATGCATAAGGCTTGTTTGTGCTTTTCTGTATTCTCCTTCCTCCATCACCTAAATACAGTTGGAGAACAGGTACACAACAGAACAAAAATAAATCAATAAACTGGCTCATGAGAATCAAATTATGTCTGCAGTACTAGAAGGTGCAAAAAAAAATCACATTTTCCACTGTTTAACTAAGAATACTGTACATATGATTAAGAAGTATATTCCTTTGCCTGGGCATTGCTATAAATCTAAAAGAGGAGGGTATAAGGACAAAAAATTGCCTTGTGTAATTATATCATTTAAATTCATGGTCTCTTATAATTATTTTTATTATTATAAACAAAGGTTGATTTTTCTTCTGTCCAAACCAAGGCTAGTGAACAAAATAGGGGGGGAGCTTGAGGTGGGGGTGGGAGGTGGGGAACCCATGACCAATTTATGGCTTGCAAGCAAAATGTGAGCATTGTTCTAAAACTCACTTTCCTTAGCTACAGTTCAGTTCAGACTGTGGATACTGGGCTGATTGAATATCTCTGAACTCTAGGGAGGCCTGACTCTCTGTCATCTCCCATTCTTTCTTCATTTATGAAGCTTATTCAACTTTTTGCCTTCTCCCTCACATTTTGAACTGAGCACCAACAACCAAAATTACTGGAAACTTGGTCTACAGGTTCTTTGTTGTAGTTGTTGAGTTGTTTTCAATTGTGTCCAACTCTCTGCGACTCTATTTGGGGTTTTCTTGGCAGAGATAGTGAAGTGGTTTGCCATTTCCTTCTCTAGTGTGTCCTCATTTTACAGATCAGGAACTGAGGCAAATAGGGCTTAAATGACTTCCCAAGGGTCACACAGCTAGTAAGTGTCCAAGGCTGGCTTTGAATTCAAATCTTCCTGACTCCAGGCCCAGTGCTCTATCTGCTGTACCACCTCACTGACCCCTCTCTAAATATTATTTGTTATATGAGATGACTTTCTAAGAGGCAGAAGTGGAGAAATCTGTGAGATAACTTAATGATATAAGAGACAGACTATATCAATAAAAACTTATTTAATTTTTTTTGTCCTGGGTGAACTCTGATCTTATCTCCAAAGAGGTTGAACTACCTTAAATTTTTTTTTGTATTCTATCTCCCCACAACCCTCTTCTAAACTGCTACTACAAGGCCTTAGTGTAAACTGACCCTGAGTTTTCAAAAGCTATGCCAGTAGAGTACTGGGGAGCAAGCTGAGATAGCTGGGAGTTAGAGAAACTTCATCAAAAGACACAGGAAGTCATCTCTCCTCATTCCTCATGGCTCACAGTTTAGGTTGTTCTTCCTAAGTCAGGTACCAATTCTCTTCGGCATAAACTCCTTTCTCCCTGGCTCTCCTTCCCATCCCCCCTTTATGGGAACCAAGCTAGAAGCCTCTGGTCCTGTGTGGTTTTCAGCAAGAGGCTACAGCACAAGAGTTTACATCCCATCCAGGGATGTTGTGAGACTCCAAAAGATAATGGATGAAAAGCACTTTGCAAACCTTAAAATGCTATATGAATTGCAGTTATCATTATTATCATTGGCCTGTGATGACTTCATTGTCTGAGTCTTCTACTCTATTCAGGCTGATCACTACCTACTCCTAATCTACCCCACCCCTCAAATCCCTTCCAGCTTGGAGAGATTCATGTATATATTATTACAGATCACCAATGGGGTAATGAAGGCAGAGAAAGGTGAAGGGGCTTTTCCCAAACCATGCAATGAGTAGAAGAACCAGAGTTAAAGCCTTTCCACTTCCTCATCCTGACCACATACTACTAATGCACATTTGGCTCAGATTTTATCATTTCTGATATTATTATCTTGGGGGGGGTAAGGATGAAGTCTAATCTCAAGTCAGAGTTTTCCTACAAGTTTTCCAGAGATCACATAGAAAATATGCAACAGCTAATTAAAAAAAAATTAATGCCTTTGATCTCCTCTTAACATCACTCCTCCTAATTCAATAATCATGAAACCAATACAGTAGTATTGAACTCTTCCTTCGCCTCTGGAATTTAAAAGGCTATAATTGATGATTTGTTCTCAAACCACAGGAAACGATTTGTCACTATTCATTTAAAGCTACTTTTCAAGAATTTTTCCTGTCTGCATTAAGGAAGAAAAAACAAACCAGATGACAAAGCAAGACAAGTTCTGTGTTTTACTTTCCTCAGAGAAGTGAAACAGAATATTCTTTGGTGAGTATCACATTCTGACATGTTATATAGCTAGTGGGGTTGGTGGTTTTCTTTTTTCTTTTTTTCCCCCATAAAGCAATAATATGGGAGCGTAATGTTTCTCTGGCTGTGTTCTGTGGGAACTGAGGCTGATTGGTGTCCTGCTAATGGAGCTGAAGCCTTCTACTGGCAGAGTAGGTCATTGAGAAAAGAACTTAGGCCAGGCAGGAGTATCAAAGAACTTTGCTGAAGTAAGTCATGCCTCACAAGCAAATCATTCTGCCTTGGACAAGTCACTTCACTTTTTAGAAGCCCTATTTTCCTCATGGACACACTGAAAGAGTTAACGGATTTTTATGTTCCCTTGCAGCTTTAAAGAGCTATAATGTTATGATTCTGGATAAGAGTGGAAAATGTTGCTTGGCACATAATAGATGCTTGAAAGATGCTTGTTGGTTGATTGCATCTCCATTGAGTCAGGAAAAAATAGTCCTGGATAGTATCTTTCTTTTTTGAGATTGGGTTTCCCCATCTCCCCTAGGCTGTGTGTACAGTGGCTATTTGTGGACCCTACCCCACTGCTGATTAATACAGGAGTTTTAACTAATCTAGGCCTTTTCATTCCTCCTTCGGCAGCCTGATGTCTTCTCTTTCCTAGAGGATCCATATTGGTCCCAAACTCTATGTAGTCATCCAATTGGTTTCAGCTCTGAACTCAAGAGATTCTTTAGTCTCAGCATCCCCAGGAGTGGGGCTACAGGTGTGTACCACAACATCTGGCAGCCCTTGACCCTCTCACAGAATCATAGATTTAGGAGCAGAGCTGAAAGGCCATGAAGTCAAACACTTTCAGTTGATAGATAAGAAAAACGAGGCTCAAGAAGGTTAAATGGCTTATTTGAGGTCATAATGGTACTAAGGGTCAGAGGGGAAATTTGAACACAAGTCCTCTGACCCTGAAGCCGACATTCTTTTTGCTATATAATTGGATGGATTGGGGACATTTAGCCTGGAAAAGAGTAGACATGATATCTATCTTCAGGCATTTGAAGGGAACTCCTGAAGAAAGATTCTTAGCTTTGTTTTGTCTGGCCCCAGAAGGCAGAATTAGGGGTATGTCAGGAAAAATCTTGCTGAAGAATCAGAACTTTACCAAAAAATGGAACAAGCTGTCTCAGGAGATGGTGGGCTCCCTCAAATGGCTGAGCATTAGAAACTAATAAGATTTTATTAATGGAAATGACATTGAAGAAGAGGCATTTCCATCTGCTTTACTGTTGAAACTTAAAGACCAAAGGACTTTCCCATCTGACTTGTAGCTGAAACCTTCCATTTGTGTTGTCTCCACCATTAAAATGTGAGCTCCTTGAGGGCAAGGATTATTTGTACAAATTTCTATTTCTATCCTCTAGGCATAGTGTATTGTACATAGTGAGAACTTAACAGATGCTTTATTCGTTCATTCACTTATTCATTCATGCATACGTGCATGCATTTCTTCTCACTGGAGATCTAGCAAAGAACAAATGGGTATGTTGTTGGGGCTATCAGGTATCATTTTGATTCAGTGGACATTTAGATCTCTTTCAACTCTGAAATTCTTCAATTGCGTAAAAATGCTTGAGGTTTGGAGGGGCTTCAAATTCTTCAAATTCTGAAGAAAAGGATATCATTCATTTTATTTTTTCAGTCTGAGCTCCTTGCTCTTTAAAAAAAAATAATTTATTTTTAGTTTTCAACATTCACTTCCGTAAGCTTTTGAGTTTTATTTTCTCTGCCTCCCTTCCCTCTCTCCTCCACATGATGGTGTGCAATCTGATATTGGCTATACATGTACAATCATATTAAACATATTTCCACATTTGTCACATTGCAAAAAAACCAATCAGAACAAAAAGAGAAAAGCATGAGAAAGAAACAACAAAAAAAGTGGAAAGAGTATGCTTTGATCTGCATTCAGGCTCCATAGTTCTTTCTCTGGATGTGGATAGTATTTTCCATCATGAATCTTTTGGAGTTGTCTTAGATCCTTGCATTGCTGAGAAGTCTATCAAAGTTAGTCATCATACAGTATAGCCGTTACTGTGTACAGTGTTCTCCTGGCTCTGCTTTCACTCAGCATCAGTTCATATAAGTCTTTCCAGGTTTTCCTGAAGTCTGCCTGCTCGTCATTTCTTATAGCACGATAGTATTCCATTAAATTCCTATACCACAACTTGTTCAGCCATCCCCCAATTGATGGGCATCCCTTCAATTTCCAATTCTTTGCCACCACAAAAGGAACTGCTATAAATATTTTTGTTCATGTAGGTCCTTTTTCCATTTTATGGTCTCTTTGGGATACAAACCTAGAAGTGCTATTTCTGGGTCAAAGGGTATGCAAATTTTATAGCCCTTTAGGCATAGTTCCAAATTGTTCTCCAGAATGGTTGGATCAGTTCATAACTCCACCAACAATGTGTTAGTATTCCAATAGTATTCCAATTTTCCCACATCTTTCCCAGCATTTATACTTTTCCTGTTTTGTCATGTTAGCCAATCTGATAGGTGTGATGTGTGTGGTACCTAAGAGTTGTTTTGATTTGCATTTCTCTAATCAAGAATTATTTAGAGTATTTTTTCATAGGACCAGAGATAGCTTTAATTTCTTCATCTGAAAACTGTCTGTTCATATCCTTTGACCATTTATCAATTGAAGAATGACTTGTAATCTTATAAATTTGACTCAGTTCTCTATATTGAGCTCCTTGCTCTTGAGGGCAGACCATGAGTTCAATTGCAATTATTAATAGCTAACATTTGTATGGTGTTTTTATGTTTCAAAGCACTTCACTTACGTAATCTCATTTTGTATTCTATCCCCAATGCCTGGCATATAGTATATGCTTAATAAATACTTTTTGCTTTGTTGAAAACCCTATGAGATAATGCAGATAATATTATCCTTATTTTTATAGGTCAGTTCTATCTGACATCTATTATGTGCCAACCAACATTTTCCACTCTTATTCAGAATCATAACATTATAGCTCTTTAAAGCTGGAAGGGAACATAGAGGTCACTTAACCCTTTCATTGTGTCCATGAGGAAAATAGGGCCTCTAAAAAGTGAAGTGACTTGTCCACGGCAGAATGATTTGCTTGTGAGGCCTAACTTACTTCAGCAAACTGACCTATGAACAGACGTATTTTTTTTTAGATGAAGAGCACTGAGATCTGGAGAGATGTAGGGAATTGTTCACAATTACACAACTAAGATGGGGCCAGTGAAGGTCCAAACCCAGGACTTTTGATATCAAATTCAGTACTCATTCACTCTTTCTGACTCCTTTCTAGAGAAGAAATATTGGCAAAAGTACTTTTGGTAACATAGATGAATACTCTCTGCTTCAGCTATTGGTCATTTTAGCTAATGTTTTTTGGGTAGGGGAGCACTAGAGCTGAATGTTTTTTCCTTATGTCTGTACCTTCTTCCAAAATAACTCCACTAAGAAAGCTGTTTTACCAGAAAAAATAATTCAGCATAAGGAAAAAGTTGAATCTGGCCGCTTGTTCTGAACTTACTAACATAAATTAAGAATTAGATGCCAGTCTTAATTTAGAATTTTCTGACTCTTGTCAGTTTGTGTCATAACCTGAAGACCTCTACCTAGAGCGAAATTGCTAAAAATTTACCTTAATATCCTTTTGGAAAAGAGGAAAAAAATCTTTCAGTGAACTTCAGGAAGCCTCATTATTTTCGCCAAAGCTCAGGAGAACAGCTCTTTTGAAGTGGTGTAAATTCATTGAATGGTGAGGGCATTAAGTTTACCTTGCCTATTTCAAAATTCTATTATATGTACTTACTGGGGAGGTAGAGAAGTCACTGAAGAGAACAAAGATAGGAAAAATGGCTTGACTAGACTGCCTGTAGGCAGAGGAGATCTATGCTGGGGGTGACACTATTATGAGACCATGGAGGGTTTGATCCTCAAGGTATCCAAAGTAGGGGAAGGTAACAAAGTTATAAAGAAATCTTGAAATTTATTTTTTTAAGGTGTTGGAATATTTTAATTCCACAAATCCAATAGATGATATTAATTGATTTGGTAATTGCACTTCCAAAGCTTGATCAACTCACTGGTTTTATATACACAAAAGTTGAAATAACATAGTTAAAATGACCAACAGGATCATAGAAACCAAAGAGTAGTATCACCATCAGATACCATGTATAATACCCAAAGGAAACACAAGGATTATGCCAAAAGCTCTTCAGAGGGCAGTCCTTTTTCCCATTAAAAAGTGTACTATTCTCTTAAGTCTTTAAACATACATTAATATTTATTTGCCTATGTGCTCATGGAAACATCATGGATGCGTTCATTATTTTTAATTAGATGAAGAAAACAAAAGCAGATATTTGAAAAAAAATTGACTCAAGTATAGATTATAAAGACTAGAACAATTTTAAATCAAGAAATACCCATGCCACCTCCCATACAAACATCTAATCCCTAAGACATAGAGAGTCTCTTCTTCCTATATGGGTATAATATGGCCTTCACTCCTGGAAGATGGGTACATCTAATAAAGTCCATCTCAGTTGCTTAAGGGGGCCAATTGAGACTTGGATATGTTAAATTTATTTCTCAAAATATAACAATTTAGAGACTGCTCTCACTATTAAACTATCAAAGCCATCTGATTCAGTAAGATAGATGATGCTACTTTTCCAAAGAAACTCCCCAGATCCATTTTAGGTATCTGCTTTACTGACTAGAAGTTCTATTCATCAATTCCCAGAATACAGAAGTAAAACATGATACAGTTAAAAATAGTACTTATGTGGCTTACTGAGGGTTTTAAAAAATTTTTTTAATGTACACTTATTATAAATAGTCAATGCTGCATAAGCAACTCTCACAAAACATTTATCACCATATCATCACTGTTAAAATATTAACTTCCTGGTACACAAAGAGCTAATGCTCATTCTATACCTCAAAATGAAACCTGACCCTTTGTCTTTAATTTGGCTTG